TACTTAAATTATCCATCACCTGAAATACAATTTTTGTTGTAAGTACATCTGAAATTTGTTCTCTTAGTGATTTTGAAATGTATAATACATCATCATTTACTATATTCACCTCACCACATATACTATTCAGGTTAAAAATAAACAAAGAAATTTTGTCTTTTGCAAAACATGAATGAAATTAGAGACCATTATTAATTTCAATTAGTAAGCCATGTACAGAAAGACATACTTCATGTTCTTTCTTATATGTGGAATATAAAACAATTGAATTCAGAGAAGCAGAGAATAGAATGGTGGTTTTCAGAGACTGAGAGGTGAGGAAATGAGGAGATGAATGATAGTCAAAGTGTACAAATCGTTAGACAGGAGGAAGAAAGGGTGTTTTTGTTCAGAATTTATTGTGGGTTTCTTGTTTTGTTGTTGCTACTTTGTCTTGTTTTGATTTTGTTTTTGTTTTGCCGGAGATTGAACCCTGGGGGTCAAGAATGTTCTCTCCCAGTGAGCTACACACCAGAACTCTTATTTTTTTTATTTTTATTTTTTTGTAAGAGACAAAGTTTCCCTATTTTCTTGCTTTAGCCTCCATGGTAACTAGTACATGCCACCACACTCCTTGTATTTCTAACCAGGTTTACTGATATATAATTTCCACATAGAAAAAGATCAGTTCTTTATACAATTAAATGAATTTTGACAAGTGCAAACAATTGTGTAAATACTGCCTCAATTTGTTTATTCACTTGCTAATGAAGGTTGGACTGTTTTCAGTTAAGGAATATTATGAAAAAAAAAAGATGCTATAAATGTTTGTGTATAAGTATTTTGGTACATGTGTTTTCATTTCTCCTGATTAACTATCTAAGATTACAATTACTGGATGAAAATTAATATATTGAATTTATATCAAACTGAAAAAAAAATCCAAATGGATGTGCCACTTTATACTCTCACCAGCAATGTATGAAAATTTTAGTTGTTCTACATTCTCACCAATACTTGATATTATTAATTCTCTTAACTTGAGCCATTTTAGTATGTTAGTAGTAGTACTTCATTGTGGTTTTAATTGGAATTTCCATAATGGAAAATTATATTAAATATATTTTCATGCCAATAATTTTTCATATATCTTCTTTACTGATATATCCAAATGCATTGCCTGCTTTTTAGTTTGTTGCTGGTTCTGTAAATGGTTTTTGTTTTGTTTTGCAATACTGGGAAATTAACTTAGGAGCATTCTACCACTGAGCTAATCCCTGGTCCTTTATATTTATTAGGTTGAGTTAGGATCTCACTAAGTTACCAAGGCTGTCCTCAAACTTTTGATCCTACTGCCTCAGCCTCTGGAGTTGCTGGGATTACAGGATCTACCTGGCCTATAATTTGGGATTTAAACCCAGTTTATAATTGGGATTTAAGAGTTCTTTATGCATGCTGGATATGAGTACTTTTTCAGATATGTGAATTGCAAATATTTTCTCCCAACATAAGAATTGTGTTTTATTTTCTTTACTGCGTTATTTGATGAGTAAATTATTATGAAGTCTTTTAAGTTTCATGCTATTTATGTCCTTTCTGAATTTTTTGCCTTACCAAAGGTCACAGTTTTTCTCCAATTTTCCTGTAGTCCTACATTTTTAGGTTTCACATTTAGGTATATATCAATTTCTTATTAAATATTTTTTTATGAGATGAGGTAAGGGTTGATAACTTTTTTTCATGTGGATTTACATTTTCAACCACTATTTGTTAAAAGGCTACGTTTTCTTTGTCCATTAAATCACCTCAGTACCTTTATTGAAAATCAATCAACCATGTGTGTGTGGGTTTATTTCTGTACTGTTTGATTGATGCATCTGTGTACTCTTATGCTATAAATATATTTTCATAATTACTGTAAATTAGATAGTAAATTCATTCAGAAGGCTTTCATGGCCATTAACTTATTTGAGTCTTAAAATCCTCAATACTATAATGTTAAGTTTGGGATTATTAATATAATATGTATTTTACTGATGAGTAAACCGACAGAGTGGTTAATTGGCCTACCATGTTTACAGTTATCAGTAGACCTAGCACTAGAATACCCCTAAATCCTAGACTAGTATCTTTTCTGAAGTAAATTTTAAAAAATACTGAAGAGAAACTGATCCCCATATCAATGATTCACAGTGGTAGATTAAGAGATATTTTATTTTTCTTCCTTTTTATTTTATTTTTTAAATGTGTTCTGATTAGTTATACATGCAGAATGCATTTTGATATATTGTACACAAATGGAGCAAAACTTCTCATTCCTCTGGGTATACACAATGCAGAATCACACCAGCTGTTCAATCATGCATGTACATAGGGTAATAATTTCCTATTCATTCCAATATCCTTCCCACCCCAATACCCCTCCCCTCCTCTCACTCCCCTCTGCCCTATCCAAACTTCCTCCATTCTTACATAGCCCCCACCCTCAATTATGAATCAGTACCTACATATCAGAGAAAGTATATTCCTCCTTTGTTTTGTTGGGATTGGCTTATTTCATTTAGCATGATATTCTCCAGCTTCATTGATTTAGTGGCATATATTATAATTTCATTCTTCTTTAAGACTGTGTAATATTCCATTGTGTGTATATATGCTATAGTTTCTTTATCCATTCGTCTGTTGAAGGGCACCTAGGTTGGTTCTATAGTTTAACTACTGTGAATTGAGTTGTTATAAACATTGATATGGCTGCATCACTGTAGTATGCTGATTTTCAGTCCTTTGCATACAGACTGGGAGTGGAATAGGTCAAATGGTGTTTCCATTCTAAGTTTTGTAAGAAATCTCCAGACTGCTTTCTCTATTGGTTGCACCAGTTTTCAGTCCCACCAGCAATGTATGAATGTATCTTTTCCCCCACATTCTCACCAACACTTATTGTTGCTTATATTCTTGATAATTGCCATTCTGACTGGAGTGAGATGGAAACTTATAGTAGTTTTGATTTTCATTTCTCTAATTGCTAGTAATGTTGATCAGTTTTTATATATTTGTTGAATGATTGTATTTCTTCTTCTTGGAAGTGTCTGTTCAGTTGTTTAGCCCATTTATTGATTAGGTTATTTATTTATTTTGGGGGGGGTGTTGTGTTTTTTGACTTCTTTATATATCCTGGGGATTAGTGCTCTTACGTGAGTTATCTGTGGTAAAGATTTTCTCCAATTCTATAGGTTCTCTCTTCACCTTATTGACTGTTTCCTTTGCTGAGAAGGAGAATTTTAGTTGGAATCCATCCCATTTATTGATTCGTGATTTTATTTCTTGCTCTATAGGAGTCTGATTAAGGAAGTCAGGGCCTAATCCAACATAATGAAGATTGAGACCTACTTTTTCTTCTATTAGGTGCAGGGTCTCTGGTTTAATTCCTAGGTCATTGATCCACTTTGAGTTGAGTTTTGTTCAAGGTGAGAAATAGGAGTTAAATATCATTTTGCCACACATGGATTTCTAGTTTTCCCAGCACCATTTGTTAGAGAGGCTATCTTTTCTCCAATGTAGGCATTTGGCACTTTTGTCTAATATGAAATAACTGTATTCATGTGGGTTTTTCTCTACGGCTTCTTTTCTGTACCATTGGTCTACGTGTCTATTTTGGTGCCAATACCATGCCACTTTGTAGTATAGTTTAAGGTCTGGTATTGTGATGCCTTCTGCTTCACTCTTCTTGCTAAGGATTGCTTTGACTATTCTGGATCTGTTATTTTTCCAGATGAATTTCATGATTGCTTTGTCTAGTACTATGAAGAATGTCATTGGGATTTTCATGGGAAATGCATTAAATCTGTATAGTGCTTTTGGTAGTATGGCCATTTTGACAATATTAATTCTTCTTATCCAAGAACATGGGACATTTTTCCATTTTCTAAAGTCTTCTTAATTTTTTTTTTAATTTAGTTCTGTAGTTTTCCTTGTAGAGGTCTTTCACCTCTTTTCATAGATTGATTTTGAAGTATTTTATTTTTGTGGGGGCTATTGTGAATGGGGTAGTCTTCCTACTTTCTCTTTCAGTGAATTCATCACTGGTGTATAGAAATGCATTTGATTTATGGGTGTTGATTTTATATCCTGCTACTTTGCTGAATTCATTTATTAGTTCTAGGAGTTTTCTGGTGTGATTCTTTGCATCTTCTAAATATAGAATAATGTGATTGGCAAATAGTGACAGTTTGAGTTCTTAGTTTCCTATTTGTATCTCTTTAATTTCTTTCTTCTGTCTGACTGCTCTGGCTTGTGTTTCAAGAACTATGTTAAATACAAGCAGTTAAAAATGGCATCCCTGTCTCATTCCAGTTTTTAGAGGGAATGCTTTCAATTTTTCTCCATTTAGAATGATGTTGGCATTGGGCTTAGCATAGATAGCTTTTACAATGTTGAGGTATGTTCCTACTCTCCGTGGTTTAGCAGACTCCTCATGGTGGGGAGCTAAGCAAACTACTTACAGATTTAGTAATAACAGTCCCTCTTCAATATAAATCAATCTTTTTAGTTTTCAGTATTTGGCTTTCTGAATGATATATTCAGCATTGCTGTACCTGGTGTTCCTCTTAGGGCTAATTGGACTCATATTCTTAATTCTAATGCAAATGCTAACTGTTTGATATAAGAAGTGTCTTATATCAACTTCTCTTATTGGAATTTATTTGAATGGGTTTTTAAACGTACAGGGTTTTTTGTTGGTGATTTGCTTAAAGGGAAGCCTTTGAGTTACAGGATAATTCCTATTGTGCTTTATATTTCAGTTTATTTTCTTTGTTGTCCCTATGATCTGGTTGCTTTTAGAATTTTATTGTGCTTCAAACATGTACATTCTAATGTTAACATCAGGTAATTTTTAAAATATTTTTTTGGTTGTAGTTGGACACCATGCCTTTATTTTATTTATTTATTTTCATGTGGTGCTGAAGTTCGAACCCAGGGCCTTGCACGTGCTAGACAAGTATTCTACGACTGAGCCACAACCCCAGCCCAACATAGGGTAATTTTATTGTTTGATGTTTTCTCCCTCAGAATGAAGAAGTCAGATTCATTGAAAATGAGTTAGAGATTCAAAAGCAAAAATACTTTAAACTTCAGACTTTTGTTCGAAGCTTGATATTAGCTATGAAATCTGAAGATAAGGAACAACAACAGGTAGGTCCCAAAGAGACTAGTAAGCTAAAATGCATCATGATGTAAAATAGCATGTCACAACTGGGTTCTTCATATCTTTTTTTTTTTTTTTTTTTTTTTTTTTTTACTTTATATTCCTGTTTGACATGGAGGAGAATGGTTGTTACTTTACGACATTTTTCAGTTTTCTTGAGAAAAGGAGTTCAGATTTTTGTGCCACTATAGTGGGAAACTTAAATAATTGATTCCATATTTTATTAATTCCAGATCACACTTTAAGTAGGGAAAACTGATTTTTAAATTGATTTTAAGGAAATTCCTCAAAATGTTTGTAGAAACAGGGCTACCCTAACTAGAGAGGCATATATTAGGGAAATTTTATGAATGAAAAAGTGAGACATTTATTTACCTCTCTTCTGGAACTTTGTTGCCTGAAAGCCCTCTGCAGAATTCACAAATGTTTGAATATCTTCTATCATGTGATCTATTGCTCAACACTAAGAAATTATGAAATTATTTTGTGAAATTCTTTGACCGGACTGCATAACTTAATTTTCTCAATTTAAGTAAACTCTTTCAGTCCCCTACTCTAAGATAAAATGTCCCTTGTTTTTTTGCTATGGATTTTTGTTTATAAATACCTTCCAAGTTACATTTTCTGTCTCATATTTTTATGTGAAATCTATATAATCATTAATTCATCTTAAAATAATTATAGATGGATTTTAAATGTGCCATTTAATATTAAAGGATACCAAATTTGTCAGATTTATATAGTTCCATGCTATTCCTGTCTGATAAGTCAGATTTCTGCCTGATAAGTCCTACCAATATTGTGAGAGTCAGGTAACCATTGTTTAGGAAGCTGTTCCAGAAATTTGTATTCAGTGAATAATGTCAGAAGTATAAATAAATTCACCTCCTATACCCAAGCAAGACTGCACATACATACTCTATCCCAACATCTCCATGAGGAAAGATTTAACATCCCATAATTCCACTTTTCTTCAAAGAAAAAAATCTTTATATTATTAACTGATGTGTTGAAGCACAAAATTAAAACTAGAAGAGTATTCAGGAAGCTCAAAATAGCATGTACATTACATGTTCAGTATCATGAATTTTAGGTCCAACCAATGCAATAATGTGAAGCATAGTATTGATCTCAAAATCTCATAGAATATTTTTAATTCAGTTTCATGTCCTGTTAACTAGTACTTACCTGCTATAGTTATTGCTGTCTCCTTACATCTGGGAATTGCATATAGACTCCATTTTATTCTAATTATAATCTCATTCCTATTTAGGTTCTTTCCCCAAGACCACAAGCAAATAATAAAATAAACTAATCAGTGTTCTATTTTTCTCCTTCTCTTTTACTTTTCCTTTGATAAAATGCCAATGAACAAACATACGGATAGAAAAAAATTGGCTGAAAGAGAGACAAAGTGATATAAACATTTTGCTAAATGTTTTACCCTATATAATCAGCACCCAAAATATTCACTACTGATTTTCATGACTTTCATAATGGATATGGGGTATAATTAACCTAAAAATATGGTCTCAAATATAGAAGACACTAGTGGTAGTGCATAAAAATAGTCTAGGTGATCTCTTAAATTATTGATTTTTTTATTATGAAATATTTATGGATTCATTTACAGAAATAATTTTAGTCTACCTAATATAAGATAACTATTGTGTCATTGGTTTCTTAATTTTAAAAATTCTTCATTGTTTTCTCATTAGTCTTATTTGGGAAGTTGATTAAGATAAGTGGTCCATAAAACAATTTGACATGGTAAAGAATTTCAGGGTTTAAGCCTATATGTCACACTCTGATTGAAATGTAAGATTATCAATAGGTATTTTAACATCAATGGCCATTTTTTAAATCAAAATAATGTTGCCAGCATTGTTCTAAGCCATAAGTTCTTTTTACCCCTAATAATTCCCTATGAGATCCTAACCTGATCAATTGCCTTTCTTGAACTCTAATTCTCCACTTTACAAAGAAGATAATAATGATAACATTATAGAACTTGGCATTCATACCTTAAGTTCTACAGTAACTGTTACAGAGACTGATAGTGTATTGGGGAAAAGCTTTAATAATTTCTTGGAAGAATGACACTTGGTCAGACCCTGAAGGCAGCTGTCATTGATGAAGAAACTTTAATAAAGAAAGTTGTGTTTATGTTAGGCTCCATGAAAAAAAAAGCAGTTCCAACAATTGGCATATTCTGAGCATTTGTTCAGTGTGGCAATGCTGCAGTCTATTAAAGTATGGAAAGAAGAATGCTGACATGGTGTTATTAATAATACCGTATACTGCCTCAGATATTAAAGTTTTACTATTTCTTACTACACTCAATTTAGTCAGTCAACTTCATGCAATACAGTGACAAAGAAATGAAAAACAGTGCTTCTCTGATGTGTAGGGCTCCTTACTAGAATTTAGAATATTATCATGTCTCCTCATCTACTTGACTTTCCAGGACTCTATGCACATGGTCAATGAGTGTGAATTTGAAAACTTTTCCCTCTTTACTATGGTGGTGAGTTAAATCCAGTGATATATTATTCATAGTCTGATCAGCCAATTCAAGCGTTCCATTGCACCTGGACAGGATTAATGGTATCCCACTGTTCTAGAAAAATAGTTCTGTTTCTGGGTACTGGAACCCAGAACCTTAGAGTTCATGTAATAATTTAGGTACCTTTGCTGTGTAAATATTCTCCATTTCAGCAAAAATTTCATGAACAACTTAATGATATAAAATAAGAAACACCTTTTTATCCCAGATAGGAGGTAGTCTTTCCTTGTACATTTTGAAAAAAATGAAGAATGTACTCTTGCCTTTGTGCTACACAGCAACAGTATAAAATCTATAACTGTCACTTTTTTAATAAAGAAAATAGAAGAAAACTGTCTCATTTCAACAGTGGATGTCATATGTTCTCCAACATGCCCTGTCTTTCTGTTCCTTAATTGGATAGTGGCAAGCTTTCATTTGTTCCTATTCCCTTGGTCCTTGTTTACTGTTGTGCCTACAGCCCACACTACAAGTAATGCTATCTAAAAATTTCCAGATATGCTATATTATTTTTAGCACTGGGAGCAGCAAATCAATCATTTAGTACCAATTTCTTATAGTCAAGTGGACATCCGCACCATCGGCACATAAAATTGGATAAATTATTTCTCTAGTTTAGATGCATGTTCTGCAACTCCAGATGAAATAATGAGACCATGGCAAAGCTTAGTTCATCAAGCTCAGTGTATTCTAATTATTCCAGCAGAGAAATGAGCAGCCTCTAGATACATCATTACAACAGTTAGATTTAATGGTTCAACTGGCCCTAGTGGGTGCTTGGCCATCTGTAGATATGGGCATAGTGTAAGGAAAGAGAAAAAAATCAGTGTCTTCTCAAGTTGTTAAAGTTTAATATAAAGTAGACTAGTTGAACTTCTTTCCTAACCACTAAATTCATTCTCCCAATGAAGAACAAAATGTGGTTTTCTCTAAGTATAGTGAAACCAGGCATGGGTATTTTAATGAAGAATACAATTTCAAAACTCTTTAGCAGTGATCCGTGAACACTCAAAAACAGTATGAAAATCACTTAACGCAAACACTTCAAAGTACTTTGTTCAGAACAGTTGCTCATTTCCCTCCTGATTTTCTCCTTTAGACAGGGTTCTAATCTACATAACCCACACTCTCAACATCTAGTATTATGTTACCTCTTATTAGTGTATGAATATATTTTTTCTTTTAGGTAAGTTAATTATATAAGATCCTGAAACATAATTGCTTTTTTCTTTAAGACCATGAGAATAAATCAAAATGAAATGGCTACAACTATTAACATTAAATTGAAAAAAATCTATCCACATACTAATCCAAAAAATTGATTTTTCTGACTCAGGCACTGCTGTCAGATTTACCTCCTGAATTAGAAGAGATGGATTTCAATCATGCTTCACCGGAGCCTGATGATACCTCATTCAGTGTGTCTTCTTTATCAGAGAAAAATGCCTCAGACAGTTTGTGATTTGAGGGGGAGGGGAATATATGATGCAGTCTTTTGGCTGCTTAACAGGTGTGCATTTCAAGATAACTGTATTCTGTTGCCCCAATAATCTTCAGTTGGAAAAATGCATTGTTGAAACATTCTGTGAAAGATGAACAAGATATAATGGCTACAATGCAAAAAGCTGCATGTAAAATTTTAAAGCAATCATTTGAGATTTTCTTCCAAACTGGAACTCTGGGAAAAATTTAAACAACTTAGCTATAAAATTTATTATGTCTGATTTCTGAAAGAATTTTGCTTGGCTTTATAAAAGAATCTTAGTAATAGTTTTAACCGGAGACACAAAAATTAAACCATTTCAACATTACTTATAAAGTTGTTATAGCTGGATTGGTCTTGTTTTTGTAGCCATTACATCTTTCTTCCTCTCTCCTTTTCCTATCATCCATATACACTTTTACTCAGGAAAGTGGATTGAAAATTAAAAACAAAACTTTAAAATATTATTCAACCTGGCTGAGTCCTGGGATTTATTTTTCAACCCTTATGAGAATTTAACTTGAGATAATGATTGAAAATTGAAATGATTTCTAGTATGTAATTGTAAATTGTTGGTATTCTTCTATTATCTGACCCAAATATTTTCAGGGATGGGAGAAAAATACAGAAAGTTAATTCACTAACATAAAGTCAAATAAATCATTAATTGTATAGAAACAAAATGTAAAAGATTAATCTCAATGGGAATTCTTCATTGCTGCCAATGGTAAACATTGATAAGATTTGTATTCTTGCAAATTTGTGTAACCATGTTAAATGAAATATTGCACAAATATTTCAAGTTTGTCACCATCTTCATAATATTTTTTCAGTTCTTACATTTTATGAAACAGGAGGTCAAGGTAAGCCACTGAGAATTTTTTTTTTAATCTAGTCACTCAGCTTTGCCACAAAATTTACCTCATTTCCATGTGAGGCATGTACAGAGCCATCAGCCAAGGATAACATCCAAAAAGTGTTATATTACTTTGGTTGTAAATCCTAGTTCTCTGAATTTCCTGGATACTATTCTGTGAATATTCACCTAAAATGGGCATGGTACCCTGTTGTTCTATTAGTAACTACCAGATGCCCACACATTGCAGACTGTTCTTTGTAGATCTTCCTTTCTGGGATACCAGAAGATATTACCAAGACCCATAGAAGGGAAAATTCCAGTTTTGCTCTAAGCTCACAGTGCCAAATATTTGTGAATTGGCAATGTGGAACTGTGTTTTATGGTTAAATTACTATCTATACCTAAAAGACTAATGAAAGCTAAATGGCTGTTGTGGTTATTAAGTTTCCATTTCAGATATTTTTTAAAAAAATTCAATGAGAGCCAATTCTTATCTTGGAATTTACTGATATTTATGAATAGAGAAAGGTAATCATTAATGTATTTGACCTTGAAATATCCCCCCTACACAAACAGGGGAGGATCATTGGACAGTCCTTCATTTTTCAACTGTTTGTTTGACTTGATATTGCCACTATAATACTGTTATGGTTCCTTTGTTAGCAGAAGCATTTCAAGAACACAGGTATGCTCCCATTTAGCTAAGAGGTTCTTTGCAAACAATGTTTAGCATTCCTTGATGACAAGTCAAATTTGCATCCAGAAAAAAGAGCAAGCCCTCTGTAACAGAATCTCAGATGTTAATATTAAATTTATAGATTGCACCAATTCCTCCATGAGATGTAGTCCCCACTCTGTACAGAAAATAGAAACCATTTCTTAAGTAGGAAGAATAAAATCCCCCCAGCCTGAAAGTTTCTCCGAGGATCATTAGTTATGGTGAGTCTTTCAACTCAAATTTATTCTGCCTCAATTTAACCCTCTTCTTAGCTAGTTCTCATTGTAAAGTAAGAATAGGTAAGTTTCTCCTACATAATTTAACACTGAAGATTGTATCTTCACACCTTAGAATTTAGTCACTGAATGAAAATATTTTTTTTAGTTCCTGCTATAAAGAAGGCACTGTAATGGATATTGGATTTCTCAGCAAGCCGTGGACTTCAAAAACAAATGTTTCTTGTTAAATTTTCAGGGATATTAATAATATTTATTTAAGTAGAAACTGTAATCAATTTAAAGATTCTGCTAGGTATGATTCCTAGAGGGTATACTAGTTTACACTTTGGGGAAAAAGCATAGATGACTTCCTTGTTCCTGTATAAAGTTCCATCAAACTAGAAACTATACAAATCATAACAGGAAATTTAGGACTCCTTTTATCTTATCATTTGTGTTTCATTATCACAATTATTTCTTTTACCATCACTGGAATTAAAACACTTCTGAAATGAAATGTGGCTGTTCTTATCTTGGAAACAAAGGAAACAGCTGCATGCAAAACATCATAATTTGCAGATTGAAATTATGCACCATAGATTCTGAAAAAGATGTCAAACTATTAAAAACTAGTATATGGGGCTGGGGCCGGAGCTCAATGGCAGCACACTTGCCTGGCATGTGTGAGGCACTGGGATCAATTCTCAGCACCACCTATAAGTAAATAAAAATAAATAAAGGTCTATCTACAATTTTAAAATATTAAGAAAAAACACTATTATATGGCTGAAGATGTAGCTTTGTGATAGAGTGATTGATATCATGTGCTAGGCCCCGGGTTCAATCCCCAACACCACAAAAGAAAAAAAAAACTATTATGAAGAGCATATTTTTTACAGATATAGATTTTAAGTGAAAATGCACCTCTTATTAACATCTACATGGAAGAGGGTAAAAATCAACTAGTGTTTCTTTCTTTAGGGCTTACAGTCTTAAAACAGACCATAGGAATAAAGATTAGTTCAGTGGTACAACCTGTGCTTAGCATGTATAAAGCTCTGTATTAGATTCAAAACCCTGCAAAAACAAACAAACAAAAAACTACAAGGTACTATATGAATTGTTTCTCAGACAGAAAGCAATGTTAAAAAAATAACTTTTTTTCTGTCAGCTGTATTTGGATATCTGCTTTAAGCTTAGTATAACCAAGTTATTTTTAAGCAGGAAATACATATTTGAGAGCATTTACTTTCCAAACTGTGGACTTAAAAAATGAAGCCACCTTCTACCTTGAAATGAAGCTAAAATTAATCACAAGAAAATGAAAATTGCAGTTGCCCTGGAGAATAGGAAAATTAACACATGCACGGAAAATGTTAAAAGAAAATTGGCCTCTTCATTGAACCAGGGGATGTTTTATTGTAATGTTATTTATTAACAGCAAGACTTTTGTATTGCTATTGCAATAATGTGAAAGACATGTTTCTTCTTGTTGGAGAAGAAAAGGCTGTGGCCTAAACACATCCTGTGCTTGATATACTACCAAGATCTCAAAATATATTTAAAAGGCCATTTTATCCAAAAACAGAAACTTCTAGCTTAAGGGTTTTTGATATTCAGCAGTCTTACATGTTTGTATGATAAAACAAAAATGGTAGATTTAAAAGAATTCTGGACTCTAGAGGTTTTTTTGTTTTGTCTTGTTTTGTTTGTTTGTTTGTTTTTTGTACAAGAGCATTAAACCTATATTCAGTGAATAGTTTCCTCATCTCAGCCTGATTGCTCATGATCTTTTTTTAAGAGAAATTTGAAAATGTTATCTGTGACCATTCTTCCAGATTGAAGTAATAGTATACCAGGAATATTGTTTATTTTTAATGTATTAGATTTCTATTCAGATCCTAAAAATGCACAATTGTGATAATTTACCTTTTTAAGGGAGTTGTCCATGTCTAAATGTTAGGTAGATTTCTCTTTGAAGTTGGTGTTATCCTTGGCAGACAGCACTGTATCATGCCCTTCACCAAGCTATGCTCTGTAATGCTATAATGGAGGAGCCTACTAACTTTTGAACCTACAATCAACATACCATTGCATAAAAGAAGCCTTTATTAAGAGCAGATTTGCTAACGGGGAAAAGAGAATAAAGTGATATTTTCATGCGAATATAATTATGATTGTTCCATTAAAGTGTATACTGAGTATATATTGTTCCACATTGAAATTTATTTTGCATTAACTTACTAAGTAATTCCTTTTAGCAACCCTGCATCCTTTTTACTGGTACTACCTCTGAAGCATACTATCACCTTAAAACCACATCAGATTGTAATGTGAATTTTTGTAGGGTTTTTATTTAAACTTTTATAGAGGCAATAAATGATTTCCAACTAATAGACATCTATTTCTTTTTTTAGTGTTTATTTTTGTCAGTCTTTGTGTTATAAGCCTTTTTCCCCCATTTAAAACAAATCATTTCCTCCCCACTAGAAGGTGTTGAAAAAAAAAGAGAAACACAAAGAGTAATATTGTGTTGGAGGTCACAGTAGGGAGGACATGGAGTACTCAAGTGAAAATTTGATTAAATTTCAAGTTGACATATATATAATCAAACTTTACTCAAGGAAGAACTACTCCAACACTGATGAAATATTGTGAATATTCTGTAGCAGGCAACGGATTTGCCCACAAGGACATATTTAAATGGTAAGACCAACAAGTAAATTGCCACATTATAAACAAAAACAATAGTATTTTTACAAAAGATTTTTAATGTGTCAGTGTTTAACTTTTCCTGTTTCTCTTTGACACCAGTTGAACATGCTTTTAATTTAGATCAAATATACCTTCTTTGTCAAAGCCTTATACCAATTACAGCTCTTCATATTACCTAACTAGTGGGGAAGGAAAAGGGGAGTACAAAGGATAAGTTTCAAATAACACATCATCACTTTTCCTTCCCAAATAATGAATTTTCAAGAATGGTGCAAGGAGGGTTGGGGGTTGTGACTCAGTGGCAGAGCACTGGCATAGCATGTGTGAGACACTGGGTTTGATTCTCAGCACCATGTATCCATAAAGAAAAACTAAAGGTCCATTGACAATTAAAAACATTTAAAAAAAAAGAATGTTGCAAGGGGAAAATCACATGCAAACATGCACTTCAATTGATACAAATCTTTCTCACATCTGTGAAAACATTGATTTAAGATGTTGAAATCTTTTGATTCC